TAACGCATATAAGTAATTTTGTTAGATAAATGTCCATGTAATGATTTCTAACCATTAATTCTCATTGTTTATACAGAAACAGTACCGGCCGAATCCACTACAAGTATGAATATTAGTGAGAACTTTTTGGACATTCTACAATTGTCGTTTGAAATAAAGTACATAGATGAAGACACTGGACTTGCTAAGAAAAAAGACAAATTAAAAGTGTCAGAGGAGAAAATGAATGTATTATATCATAATGTAGTCGATGTTTTAACGGACCAAAAATTTGATGATATTGTTGCTTTATCGACAGCTCATTGCAACATTGGCTTAGAATATGTTACTTCCACGGATACTGACGATTTAAATACTGCTGTACGTTATCTTTCAAGATGTTTGGAACTGTTAAAAGGCAAAACGTTAGACCGTAAAGCTATATTGACATCTATAGGTGCACTTAACGGATTAAATTCAGTTTGTGAGAAACTTGAGACAGAAAAAGATAATGAACACTTGAATACAGCATTGTCGCTATACTACAAATACACACGAGAGGATAATTATCCCGATCCCATCCACATAGAAAGTCTTGTTGGTATTAAAGGAAAAGAATTGAATCCTAGGATTATCTTGAACAATTTGCATCATACAACTTTACAGGAGTTAGAACGTCAATATCTTAAAAGGTCTAAAGATAAGCACGAATTTGTAAAGTACATACATGATATATTAAACATCCGACTGACAGACATGGTATCTAACAAAGCAAAATTTGATGAAAAATGTCTTGATATGGCTTTAACCTTATTTGATCTGTCTAGATACTTTCTAGCAAACGGTCGTTTCGCTGAAGCTAAAAATCACATTGCTATTGGAGATTATGTAATACACAGATTTGATAAAGATATTAGATCGGAAGAGAAAGAAGCACCTCTTGATTCGAATAAAAGTTATAATAATGCCTTAGCCGTTAGTGCTAGATCTTGGGGTTCTTATGGAGTTTCTCTTTTACGTTTCTGGATGGAAAAATTCTCACAGAATAAAGAAAAATCTTCTGAGATACAAGATGAAATGTCAAAATTAGAAATAAAATCTGAGGATTCAGATTTAATATTTTCTACGCTGGAAAAAGAATTGGAACATTTAGCTTCTAAGATCAACAAGATCACAGCACCATGTATATTGAATCTTGCTGATGCCAAATCGGTTTTCATAAACACTTTGAGAGAACTTCAAGCAGCGAAGAAATATTTTACTATAGACACTAATATTGAAAATTATGCGATGTTAACACTTAAAATTTCGGATGCATACAAATATTTAGCAGGTTTTCAAGAACAAAGGGATGAACAAATAAAACTACATAAACAACGAGTAAAGTATTTAGAGGAAGCTCATAAAGAATTTCAAACAATTACTGTGAATGATAGAGAATCACAAATCTGCGAACGGATTAGGTACGAAATGGTGACGTCATGTTCCACGGTTATGGATTTAATGGTTGAAGAAACATATTACGACGAATCATTTAAAGAGCTGTCAACGAATGCTGATCAATATGTGAAAATAATTGCAGAAAAAATCGGTCTTTATTTAAATAACGTTTAGATTTCTTTTTCATAATTAGTCCTTACTAAAATTTCTTCATTTATTATTATTTGTGACCACATTGAAGAATATTATTGAATGCGTTGCTCTATCGTACATAAGTCATATAAAAGCATGATTCATAATTATTATACTCTTATTATACTCTTTATTATACTCTTACATTTCTATATTTGCCAATGATTTATATTTTTCAATAATTAACAATAATACACAATCATATAAGATTATATACTATATATATTATGTATATTACATATATTATATATATTAAATACATTACATACATTATATTCTCATATATATTTACATTTGTATAAAAATATTTTTATTATAGAAATTATATAAGATATAAATAGTATAATTTATATATGTATGTGTATATATATATATATATATATATATATATATATGTATGTATGTATATAAAATCTTGAACAACATAAATTATATAAATATATAATCTTATATGTATACGAACAGACAAATTGTAAAAATCAATGCTCGAAAAACTGTGTGATAAAATATAATGCAAAAATTGAAATTTTTAAGTACTTTACCCTATTTGCGTATTTAATTTACCTCTCTCAGCATTCTCAAAGCGACGAGTTTAATTTCAAAGTAAAGTGTTGCTTGTATCTTGAAAGACTAGTCTTACTCTGATAGTGTCGAACAAATATTACGTGATTGCAACCGCTGTGACATTTACAGCAGCTCTGGCCAGAAATCCATCATTACCTTGTTAAACGTTCCGCCTTAATGCTGACAAAAATTATGCGAACTTCAATGTCAATTTAAATAGTTCCAATCAAGAAAAAGTGATTTAAATGTACAACACAGAATATATAATTGAAACTTTCTCAAACGCATGCAGACAATCGGCCAAATGTTAATATAGTGAATTCGAGATACACTAACAGGACTTCTTTTATTAAAATAAATAATAAAATAGAACTTCTTTTAATTTTCTGACTGCTCTGTAGAAAGTCTCTTCTGCTTACTTTTTATTTTATACATTTGCTGTCTCTAGTTTCTTTCCTATGTTCCTTCTGAGATTTACTTTATCGACTGAAAATTGAAGTTTATCTTACAATTAATAATATATCAAGTATTATTGGTGAATGAGAAATATTTGGCCCCCAGTTGAACCGATATCTTTTACAATACCAGTTTTCTTATCAATATAAAAGAAATTTCAAATAGTTATAAGTAAAATAATTAAATTACTGATGTCAATTTAATGTAAGGTAAAGGAATGTTTTAATTTAAGAGAAGAAAGGTTTGCATTAAATCCGAAAATTTCGATACGTGAATTTGAACATGAAACTACTGAATTCCTAATAATATCAAATTTTTCCGTACTTTTTTATACCATTTATACGCTAAATTGTATCACTGCGCATGACACGGCCCTGATCATTTAAACGAGATTGCATTTACACAAAGCAAGAAAATTTTTGCGTTACACAATTTTCCTAAATCCCGAATATAAACACTTGCAAAATTTCGTATTTATTCATGTATGTCGCGTACGAATACTTCGTATTATTTCCATCTATTACTGACAGAAGAATTTACATCCTCACCTATAGGTTTGTAATGCCCATGCTGTGCTTGCAATAAAATTTCAATCTTGTCCCACGGTGTCATGTCCGTTTTCGAGCAAATTCCGACACACTTGCGCATAATTCATTGTACATCAATACTATTGCAACAGCATATTCTTGAAATATCAAGTTAAAAAGTGTCACTTTTTCCCTCCGATAAACAATTATCGAGATATCGTAAGCTAAATATTGAAAAAAGTTACCAAGTTTTTCTTGAATATCTCAAAAAGTATAAGGCAAATAAAAAATGTTTCAGACAAAAGTTGTTCAATTTAATTAGTAGAAAAAGATGATACATAAAAAAATAAGGGTCTTTACTTAAAAAATTTAACTTAAGCCCTACTGGGTCCAACACAGGCCCTGGACCCAAAATTTAATAAGATCGTTTATTGGCCCCCTTTAAACCCTCCAACTTTTATCTGAAACATTTTTCCAATAAACAAATATTTTCTGAGATAATTGGAGGAGATAATTAACACACGAAATAAAACTCACCCTGTATATATGTATATGTATTTAAAAAATATATAATTTTATGCCAAATAAAACGATAATGAAAGATAAAGGAATATAGCAGGATTTATATAATATTATATAAAAAATTTAACAAAGAATTTTTTCATTTTCTAAGATCATATAAAAAATAATTTCTTTTTAATGGAATTCTACACACTTTCTTTCATAACACAAAATAAAAAGAGTTCAGTAAAAGTAATGTGACGTTTGATTTAATAATTATCTAGAGTTTAATTTAATAATTATCTAGAAAGCATTAACATAAGATCTAAGAAAAACAGTAAGGACCAGTTTCACCAACGTCGATTAACTGTAACCTTCGATTAAACTCACTCTTCATCTCTTTCTAACTGTCCCTCTTATGTGCATTTCCACCAACGTAGATTAACTTTAATCGCGGTTTAACTTACATTTCATTTTTTTCTAGTTCTTAAAGATAAAAGGTAAGTTAAACCAAGATCAAAGTTAATCTGGATTGGTAGAAACAAATATTAGAAAAAAACGAAAAGTTAGTTTAATCGAAGGTTACAGTTAATCGGAGATGTGGTGAAACCGTCCCTAAGTGGTTAATTAATCGAGTGTATGTTGTGTGTGTGTGTGTGTGTGTGTGTGTGTGTGTGTGTGTGTGTGTGAGAGAGAGAGAAAGCTGAGCAATTATATCCAGATCATGGTGTGGAAGCGAAGTTGTTTAGAGGCATTATCGTTTTTTTAGTTTTGTTATTCAAATAAATCCTTCTCTTCCTGAATATCGATTTGTTCTTTCCGGTAAGCTTCAAATTTTCTACATTCCTATAGTACTTTAAAATGACTCATGAAAAATGTAGTACAATTTTATAAATTTTTCAAAGCGTTCTCTGAATGTATATTTTTCATATAAAGTTCCTCTTATGTCATTTTCTTCTTTTTTATCTTAAATCTGCACAGAAAAATAAATACATAAATTATTAATTTTCAAATAAAAAGGAGGACGATAGGATCAGCAAAGTACATTTCATTCTTTAACGATCTAAAATCGTAATCATGATCATCGTTAAACTATAGAATTTATGTTTATGATAGATTTGATAAGCGTGGTTTCGATCAAACTTTGATTAATTTAATCGATCAATTTATTAAGTAATATCTATATTAATTGCTTCATTAACTTAGATAGAATTATTAATGTTTTGACTGCCAATCATACGTAAAAAAAAAAGTTTAGATTAGAGATAATGAATTATATATAGACATTTTGCTCTGAACGATTCTGCTAATTAAATTAGGCCTGTTCGTTTTAGCTGAACTTCTTGCACGGTTCATCTTTGCTTTTTTTTCTTTTTACATTGGAAAGAAAAAGAGAAAAGATGAACTGTGCAAGAAGTTCAGTTAAAACGAACAAGCTTATTAATCGCTGACTAAAGTAATCGAAGTTTGATAAAAAAAAAAGTAGCTCTAAATATAGCGTCTAATTGAAATATTTTTTTCAAACTTTAGAACATACTAGAAATCTAGGAATAGAGAATCTGTGATGTCAGAAGTGCGTTCATAAAATATCTATTAAAATCCCAAACATCCTGTATGAATGTACAACGTAAACGCTGCTTCTGAAGATCAACGCTGAAGCAAAAAAAAAAAGCAAAATAGGTTACCCAAAGGATTTCAACTCATCAGCTACGAGATTTTTCACGACAACCTCATAATTCTCGATTCTCCTTTTGGATCGGGTCATAGCTGCTGCAGGATAATGTCGATGCGGACGCAAATCGTGAATACCAAGTTGTACGAGAAAAACGCAAGCGAAACTACTCGTGGCAAAGAACGTTTACTCTATGTGATTTCAGTCGGTGACAATAGGGAGGGGAGAATGAGAATCGGGGATTGTTGACAATAGGTCTGTTCTATTTAGCTAAACTTCTTGCACAGTTCATCTTTTCTATTTTTCTCTCCAACGTGAAAAGAAAAAGAGGAAAGATGAAGGAAAAATAAACCGTGCAAGTTCAGCTAAAAAGAACAGGCCTCTTGAGTGATCCAATCTCATGTATAAAGAGCGTAAGATATTCGTATTTGTGTCCTACGCCGTCCTGCAGTGGAGCGACGCGCCACGTGTCCATGTGTCCACGTGTTCTATTTTTCTCTGAATCTTATTTCTCTAAACTTGCAAGTGATTCATCGAGAACGGAAATTACTACGTGATATTGCAACAGAGAAGCTTTTGCTACTTAAATAACTTTTAATAATATTTAGCGATATTTTGCTATTTTACGATAGAAATTTTTTATTTATATGCTAACGTAAAATTCTTATTCATTGAATATAGACTACGAGTAGCACTATTTAATTTTAGTTTGCTCAATTTTAATCCTGTAAATTGGATTAACTCAAGTTTGTTTATGACATTATTACAATAAATTAAAACTGTTTTCCGTGTGCGTGATATACATTTACATATAATGTCCCGGTTCCAGAATAGTTAATATCAAAAATACAATTTTTTAATATAAACACAAAGTAAAATTGTCAGAATTTATAATAAAAAGAATGTTTTATTTCAACTAGCCCTTTTTTTTAAACCATCCTCTACAAATAAATAAATTTGACACGTTGGGTCATTAGGTGAGATTTTATGTCGCTTTTGGAAAACTTGCCT